TTGATGGCGCCACATTTGTCTCTGGCATTTTAGATGAAGTTGATTGTAATGCTGACGCTTTAGATGGCACTAAAAAGTCTTCTGGGGTTCCGTTCCTCAAAATTGTTGTTTCTGAGTGAGTCCGCTTCTCCTTGTGTCTCATTGGCATGAGTTCTGTATGTTTTGATGATGGCGATCGATCCGAACTTCTCGAGGATTTTTGTGAGGCAAGTTTTTCAAGATGAGCGGAGGCTCCTGATGGTAAAGGGGTATCGGTATTTGCAAAAGTAATGAACTCACTCGATTGTTGCCTCAAAGAATTTGCTCTGATGCTCCCGGGACTAACTAACGGTTGCGAGGCAGTGCTTCTGTATTTTTCACGCAAGTCTTCAATAATACCATAATCCGGAGATTCTGGCGATAATGCAGTATTAAGGCTTTCTGTGGTGATTATTGGTCCTGTTGTTTTGTCGAAGTGAGTAAAATAAGGATCAGAAATGCCCAATTCATTGTAGAATCTAACTCCACTCAATCTGTTTCTACTGTTGAGGACATGGTCCATGTACAGAGTATAGAACCAAACAAAATCATCCCAAAGTGATGTCCGAGGTTGTCTGGTGGGGGTCCCAAGCCATTCCAAATATACAAGTGCACATATGAACTGTCTCTTATTGCCCTTATAGCGTGGGTAAGTATTAGAATACTTCTCAAAAAGCGAAGTGGGCCGCTGTTTCGACTGGTGAGCATGCCCCGAGCTCAGCCGAGTTCTTTCGGGTACAATCGAAGCTCTGGTCATGTCGCGACCGTCGAAAGTGGGAGATGATTGACCTGGGGGGAAGTTTTTGTAAGATGTGGAGGTCTGATCAGAGATTACTGTATCATGTAAATCTGTCTCAAATCTATGCTGACTCGTTTGGGAATCTTCTGGAAATGCTACATCTTTTGTTCCTCCAGTATTATCGCTCATTAAACCCGGATCTACTACTGATGATCGCCTTTGTAGAACTTCTCTTATCTTACGCCTGTTTGCTCTTACCATTTCGTTTCTGTCTTTACAAGGCGTTTCCTCTTGACTGAAACCTAGAACCTGCTGTAGAGCTATAGGATCCGTAATTTTCTGCCGTTTGAAAGGACGTTCCCCACCGTGTCCTTGCTCTGGAGAACTTTGACTTAATGGTAAAAAGCTTATGGACGGGCTCCTACTAGGAGAGTGCAAACCATCAGAAATAGCCCCATCAAGATTAGGAATTGGTATAGATTGGTAATACTGAGTCCTCGGTACACTCGGATAAACTATATGATCATTGGAATTTGATGATATCTGCTGCTCACGAGAGTGTTGAACCTTAGAGTTCTTTGGCTCTTTTTTGTCTTGAGGAGTCTCACCGATTACGTCGATCATCTGAGGAGGTACTTTCACTAATTTGAGTGATTGAAATCGCCCGGATTCAGGGATAAGTAAGCTGTCTTCGACCGTTTCGTTTTGTGGGCTATCATAAGTTCCAGGAATCACAAAGTCTGATGACAGTTCTGCATTCGGCCGTTTTCGGTGATTTGGAGTCTTTTCGACCTGTACTTCTGACTTACGCTGCGCAGTTTCGAGCTGACACTGTGGGAATTGCGGGTGATCATTTTCAGGTGATTTGCGACTCTGGATTCCGTTGTCTACGTCAGCAGAAGCAGGTGGGTTTTCGCTCTGAATTTCGTCGCCCAGGACATGCGGAATATCCATTTCCAACTCCTCGTCATCCGAAGCACTATTAGCTGGGTATTGGACCAATGCTGTAGGTTCTTTGTCCTTGATAACACAACTCGCCTTGTTTTCTGTGAAAATGGGAGAAGATTGCGGGATGGCCTCTTGGCAAGCCTCTGAGACTGGCACATCAGAACTATCGGAATTATGCGTTCCATCACCACTCTCAATAGTTAAAGAATTCGCTCGACCTGCAATTTGCTCGACGTCATCGTTTTGCCCAACCGCTTGTCTAAGCTTTGAGTTGCGGTTTGAACTAGGGCAAGTAACTTCCATCGCATCACTCAACTTGCTATGTGAATGGTGATCCTCATCGTCGCTGTGTTCTTTTGGTGAATGTGTACGATTTCGATTTAAACTTTGATGGGAGGTGTAATTTTCCTCCATCGCCTGTCTAGGTCTTGAGTTTCGCTCCGGACTAGGGCAACTAACTTCCGTCAGATCACTTGAGTCGCTATCCGACTGATGGCCCTCACCACTACCAAACACAGTTATAGACTGCGGATCTTCATGAGCATATTCAGATTCTTCGGTTCCTTTTGAGCGGCAAATGGCAGCGGGACTATCCGTACAATCGTCCCTTTCCGTCCCAATAGCGTCCTGGCTCGAGTCTGCTTTGGAGGCCTGACTGCTCTGTACTACATTCTTGGGAGTGGCTGAAGCTCGTGTAGCGAGCAATTTCTCGTAAAAAGCTAGTTGAGATTTCAGGATTGCTGGGGGTAGATTTGGTGCGGATCTACAATCATCCGGTAATGAGGCAACCGATTCCGGACGCTTGCACCAATCGTTCTGTTCTTTTGAAATACGACCATAAGGGTGTGGAATATACGACAGATTTTTCTGAAATAGCAATGTTTCATTGATTGGAGGATTATCATGAAATTTCCCGCTGGAAGATTCCATAGCCTCTAGCGTCGAATTGTTCGCAATAGGCCTCTCATCTCCTAGCGTCCTGATATTACCAGTTCTTTGTTCATCTATGGAAGGCCTGGGAGACTGTTGAACCTGTAAATCGTTCATGTGTCTCGTTTCATCACCTCTTTCCAAATTGGTGGCAACAAAACTTGATTTGGGGGAAAGTGGTTGTGCTAACCCCGTAATATCAGCCGAGTCAAGTGGTTGTCCTGGCTTACTGAGATGAGGACTATCAGCTGTAATTTGAACGGCCGTAGGATTCTGAAGAATTGCTAGGACATCATGATTCGAAGTGCACAGCTTTGGTCGATGCAAATCAGAAACAGTACTCTTTTCCCTTCTGGATTCTGAAATACTAGCGGGATCTTGTGTCGCAAGCATAACAGACTGGGAAGGTGTTGAAGTATTTTGGGATTCGAGTTCGAAATTTTGGTGAACAGCGTACCCACGATTCTCAGCATCCAGGAACTCTTTTATTGTATCCAAATTGCTATTAATAATTCCCCCAATGTCCACAGCACGTGCTGAGCCAGAAACATCTTGCGGCCCTTTGAGCTTAAAACTTGGGATCTTCAGGTATAACCTGGTTGGTGGCTCTACTGTAGTATTGAAGTCACACACCCGAAGTTGAAGTTAGTACTCCTAGGAACTTGTTATAAACTGGCGAGGTCATCATACCAATTGCAACTTCTCCGCTGCTAGAGTTTCTCCAATAAACTCCCCCAGTGTCCTTTTGTGCTTCTCCAAATAGCGATTCAGAAAATCTTGTGGAAATATTGCTGTGATCTTGGTGGTGCCATCAGATACAATCATAGACTGCATTGAATCCCGCGCCTCGCCGTTCTGTAGATGTGTCAACAGACAGAACTATTGAAAAAATATTCAAATAAATGACCCACACTAATCAAATGAATCAATCCGGGCTTTTCGAGCTTGATGAAGAGTCTTTCCTGCTCGTAAGAGAATTGCTCGTGAGACTTGCTGGCCTTTTCATGTGCAACACGTGTTGATTTCAGCCAAATCAGTGCTTCTTTCAAAGATTGTTCAATATTTTGGGCAAGCCAGCTTCGTAAGAGAGTCATGATGAAGTTGATTGCTGTGGATTATTTGAGATCTCTAGTGTTATAATATCCCGTTCGAATAAGAATCCGTGAATCTTAATTCATAATGTTACAACCCCGTAGATACAAAGACTATAAGTAGTATCATATCATGTTGTTGAATTACCCAGGGAGACTTTCTGGAAAGTATAAATGAACGTTGTGGTAGCGACAATGTTTCAAGTGCGCAGTCAATATTCATAGCCTTGAGATTGTTTATTAATGTGGTAAATGGATGGAGTAAGATCGAGTTGAGTTGAGTTGACCTAATATACATAATCTGGAAGACGCGTTCGCGATATCAATTTACGATAGAGTGGAGTACTAGGCACGTGCTAGACTAGCTCGAGGCTGGGCTAGGCAAGAAGGAGCATAATGTGGCGTGTGTGGCTGATGCATGCCAATGTCCGGGGCCGTCATAGCAGTTTTGCTGATGAACAAACCTTATCTAACTTGACAATGATGATACAGTAGAGCAGAAACCCGGGACATTTGGAAACACACTTTTCTCAACAATATTCGATATCAATTCATGCAATCATTATTTTGGATCCAAAATGAGACAAACGCGTCCACAACCCTCTGAATTATCATAGATACATCATTAGGATCTTGTGCATTGCTATAAGATACCTACTAGGTGTCACAGTGTTTCCAATGCATGATTATGATCTTACTTGAGTGATTTTGTGGACCGCTTTTTCTCAATCATGTGAAGCTGCCCGTGCTACCTCTACCCTACGAGCCTACCATTTGTTAGGTGTGAACTGCTTGCATGAGGGGAAATTCCAGTATCCTCACTACGCTTTTCAAATAAAGTACATTGGTTTCTATTGATCCTTCCCAAAATGCAGCTTACCCTTCGACTCATAAAGCGAAAACAAATACTGCTGTAGCTTATTCAATAATCCAAGTAAATTGTGATTGTCATAAGAAATGCTGCCACCACTTTCCAGTTAGTGATTCTATCAAGGGCGTTCATCTCATCTGGCTGACCATTCATCCATCCAGCCAAAGAGCAATCTGCACATTTCGTTCCGCAAGACAACCTGAATTTACAAATCAACTTCATGACATGATTACGCAAACTCGAAGCGGTCTAAGCTGTCGCACAACTTTGGTTTATCGAACACAATATATGATTCGCTCTTGATAGGAGGGCATCGGTTTGCTTAGAACCAAGAGCTCTGAGTTCACCCTCACAATTTCAACAGGCTAAAAGAAGAGGTTACCAGCGCGTGTATGAAAAGAAGATGTCATCCCATGGATCCCCAAGACCTTCTGTGATGGCGCCGCTATTGATTCCACTAGGAGCGCGATCTCGTCGAGGATCGTTAGTATCACTTCCTGGGGCCACCCCCGTCGATAAGGAACAGCTGGCACAAGCTCTTGATAAAATACATAGTACTGCTTGTCAGTCAGAGACCCTTACCACGTTCAACGAGTTTGCTCCTCCACCTCCATCCTCCTCGAACCCTGAGAGTAAAGGCCTGGCTGGGGATATTATGCAAAATGGTTTGAGTGGTCTATACAGTCGGTTTAAAGGCGCAGTTGGAGTAGGAAAGGATAAAGCAGGAAGTACCTCCGTGAAAGGTGACAATGAGAGCTTCGACACGATTTCAATCAAGAGCCAAAATGCATCGAATATTACTCCGGGACCAAAAGGTTCTGCCGGTCTTGCGCGTGAGGATTCGGGCATTACTGCTTCACCCATCCAACTTTCCACCACATCTTCACAACTTCAGTCCCCATCTGTATCTTCGTTCATGGGGAATTCGTCTGAGATGCAGTCACATGCTATCAAATCGTCAAAAGCCTCGCTCTCGTCAGCACCCTCAACCTCAAAATCGTCAGCCAGGCCTCCTCTCAATCCGATGGTCAAGAACGCCTCGTCTTCAGCTATTGTCCCTACCGTTGCACCTGTCAACGCGGTTGCATTTAAAGAGGGGGAGAAGGCTCGACTGGGGAGTTCGGATGGAAATGTTACAGATAAAGTAAATAAAAAAGGTGCTTCAGAAAGATCCGAGCCAGCTTCAGCGTCAGATTACACTCACCCTAACACGCTTGGGTCAGCTAGCGCATCCGAAAGTAGACGTTTTCCAGGCCATTCTTCGGGCTTAGACGATTCGGAGTCTTTTGATTTTGAGCCCATGAAAAGCGAATCCGCTGGGCGAATGTCGCTAGGTAATTTAGACTCCAAAAAGGATTCCCAGGAGATGAACTTTCGTGCTAGTGATGGCAGCGCCACAGGAAGGGCCAAATCTCTGAGTAACCCTAAAACAGCATCGTCGGCACTTTCTTCCATAAAAAGCTCAGATCCAAGACCGAATGCAACACCGCGTCTCTTCATCCCAGAAACTGCTAGGCGAAGTCCTGCCGTCGAACGTATAACTCAGTCACATCTCCCTGGCTATCAAGCATCACGTGCCTCTTCGACAGACCGCAGTACTGCGGAAGCTAGCCCTGTCCATACGTCTGCCCATAATCATGTGCGGCATGATTCTTTTGGTACAGATGAGCGTTCTTCGCGCACTTACTCCGGTAGAGCTCGCATACCCGGCACTACTACAAATGGAGGCAATGCAGAAGTAGTGAGCGCTCGCTTAGAACAAATGAGAAAGCAAGTCCTCAGTAAGGAATTTTGGATGGCTGATGACATTTGCAAAGAGTGTTTCTTATGCGGTGATCCTTTCACTGCCTTTCGCAGAAAACATCATTGCCGAACTTGCGGCTGTATCTTTGACTCCAAATGCACACAGACTATTTCAGGCCAAAGATTTGGTGTTCAGGGGTCACTTCGGATGTGTACAACTTGCCTCGACATTATAAACAGGCGCCACGATAGCAGCGGCTCCGACGATTCGGATGACGAATCAGGCTTGCCGACTTTCTTCCATTCTCAACAGGCCAAGTTTGACTCCTCTACATCGACTAAAATAGATCTACCGGAGAGTTCAAGTGATTCGGTGAAGATAGGAGACGAATCTAGACCTCTAGCGACCCCGATGATGGCCATACCTGCCACGCGACGAATTGGAGATTCTTCCAACAGGCGCTCCGCCATTCTAGAAATAGATGCACCGCAACTGAGTCGCCCAAGCTCATCCAGATCATTGAAAGCCTTGTCTACTGCCGCGAGACCTTCATCTTCTAGCCATAGGCGGCATCAGTCAAAACACAATTTTCTTGGTCGTTTCAAAACCCCTGCCGGAGACAGGGCACCATTTCATCGTGGACTGACCGATGACATTGGAAAAGGAACTCGTCTACCAGCCTTCCATGACGACAATATTATTGATCCAGATTTGGCACCATATATGTCAGATGAAGGCTCAAGCGCCGATGAACAGATGAGTATTTTTGCTACTTTGAACAATGGTAACACTACAACTTCTCCTTTCGAAAATGACAGAGTGGGTTTTGGCTCTTTGCTGAACGCTACCAAAAGACATAGGGCTAGAACTGGCGACAAAAGTGTTAGTGGGATCAGTTTCACAAGTCGAGGCTTAGAAGATGCTAGTGCAACTGTGGGGGCTTTCACACGACCGAATCGTCGACGTAATCTAAGCGTTGCTAGTAACACCTTACATCACACTCGACCCTCGCCAAGACAAATGAAGCCGACAGGCTTAGCGAAGGGGTATGGGAATGTGAATGAAGACGTCGCGACACCGGAACACTTATCAGATGTGCCCACGCCGGCAGGCATGTCTTCAAAAATGACTCGAAGTGCATCGATGCGAGATGCTAAAGCTCCTGCTATAGAGCTAAACAATGCCAGTTTACATCATGTCCGGCGGCTGCTACACCAATTACTTGAAGACGCAGACGTTCCAAACGTTGCTTCTTGGGAGAAGGCCTTAATACCTATTCTCCTTCAGTGCACGGACGATGTAAATCCAGACGTTCGGCGTGGCGACGATATAGATATTCGCCATTACGTCAAGTTAAAGAAGATACCAGGTGGAAAACCAGGTGACACTTCATATGTATCCGGCGTCGTGTTTACCAAGAACCTGGCCTTGAAAAGTATGCCTAGGAGTATTTCGAATCCCCGCATTGTTATTGTATCATTTCCAATTGAATATCAACGTCATCAATCGTCTTTTATGAGTCTGGAGCCTGTTATCGCGCAAGAGAAAGAATTCTTGAGAAATATGGTGAATCGAATTGCATCTCTGCGTCCCCAGCTTCTTCTGGTTCAAAAACATATTTCCGGGCTTGCTTTGCAATATCTCGCTGAGGCAAACATTGCCGTTATCTACAATGTTAAACCCTCAGTAATAGAAGCGGTTTCAAGATGTGCCCAGACAGAGGTTATTTCGTCTATCGACATGGTAGCTCTAAAGCCAGTACACATAGGCAAGAGTTCTGGTTTTGATGTGAAAACTTATGTCCATGGAGATATTCCGGGAAGAAAGAAGACTTACATATATCTATCTGGGTGCCCAAAAGAGCTAGGATGTACCATCGCTCTCCGGGGTGCTAGCATGCCTGTACTAGCCAAAATGAAGCAGATCACTGAATTTATGGTATACGTGGTTTACAATTTGAAGCTTGAAACATGCCTAATGAGGGATGAATTCGTCTTGATCCCGTCTGTGGCAGAAACTGGCAATCTCTCGCCTGCAAGACAAAATGGACAGACTTCGAAATCTATAGGATCGGATGCTATGCCTCAACAAGACACAGTTGTGGCCGCGAGCAATGTATTGCAGGCTGCTACCGAGTCGAACAAAATCAAAGGTCTTTCTCAAGATGAGCTCGGCAACAATGAAAGCATATCCACTGATAAAGTTCACATTAACCCTGAATCTACTACTGAGGCACAGACAGCCATATTGGCTGACCAAAAGCCGGAAGTGTCCAGAATGATCTCTGCACATGAGTCACATGCTCACTCTTCTCATGACGATCACCTGCCAGAAGATGTACCTATGCCAACCTTTTATAGCGATATGGTAGCTAAGCACCAAACTAAAATTCTATCTGCATCTCCATTTGTGAAGTTTATGCAACCTTATCTATTGGTTAGGGCGAGAGAGCAGGAGAGAAGACTTGTTTATTTGAAAAGACTTCGTGACCAAGACATGTTTGAAGAGCAGACCGATACAGAAAAATCGAAGCCGCAGAAATTCCAGCTCATAAAGCCCGACATGGTCCACGAGAGTATTAAAGATGCACCTAGGCAAATCATGGAGGTCCTGCACGCTGTACATGATGCCGAGTATGATAAGGCTTTGCACAATTACCAGACACAGACTCGGCAATGGGAGAATTATATTCAAGGGAATCTCAACCTGTTCGATCCGTATGGACACCAAAATATCACTGTGCTATACACAGTCGTCTGCACGGAAACTTCAATTCCTTGTGCTGGGCCCGATCTTCTTACCCTCGCATTCTATACTGAGCACGAAATATCAGCAGAAATAGATCCCGATTGTACACTGGGCCAGTATGTAGAGGATCTGTGCTTGACGATAAATACTACCTGTACGTTCAATGGCTGCGATCGTAAGATGTCGGAGCACCATCGAACTTATGTTCACGGCGAAGCACGCATAACTGTGTTTGTTGAAAGATCACCTTGTAAGATCAAAGGACTTCAGGATTCCATTTTGATGTGGAGCTATTGCAAAAAATGTCAGAAGGAAACTCAGGTTATGCCCATGTCTGAAAGTACTTGGAAATACTCTTTTGGCAAGTATTTAGAACTATCTTTTTGGAGCAGCGAGTTGCATCTCAGGGCAGGGTTTTGTCCCCATGATTTGCATCGTGATCATTTGCGATATTTTGGCTTCCGCAACGTCGCCATTAGAATCCACTACGACCCTATCGACCTTCTTGAAATTGTTGTACCTCGAACAAGAATTACCTGGAAAGTAGATAATGATTTGAGGTTGAAAAACGAACTGTTTACAAAAATAGAAGAACGGTGGAACAGGTTCATGACATCGGTAGTTTCGAGGATCAAAGGAATCAACATCGATAGCGTGGCACCCGAAAAGGCGGAAGCATGTAAAGCTGAAATAGAACGCTTAACGAAACGTGCGCAAGAAGAACACACTGCGTTGCTACGCAAGTTACAGGATAAATACATGGAATCGAAATACTATGAAATCATCCCACTAAATAGAGCTGTAAGAGCCATGCAAGAGAAGGTTGCGGAGTGGGACGATGCCTTCCAAGATTTTGATGGAAACTTCTTTCCCTCGGAAAAGGACATTCGCCGCCTTGCCGCGATACAACTCAAGAGGATGTTTATGGATCGTGACGAATCTCAAACTTCACTGGTGTCTGTAGAGACGAATGAACCATTGTCTGATGTCGAAGAGAAATCCGTAATTCAAGCACCAACGGAAACCGCAACCGAACCAAGTCAGGATACAGAAGAACCGCCGGAGGATCAGCTAACAGTAGTTGAAGACAGTTCAGTCCCAGATCTGTCAGCGGGCGATTCGCAGCCTTCCGACGGAACCCAACCATCTATTACAGAGGATCCAATTCAAACGCCTCGGCATGAGGGAGTAGAACATCTTGATCTCGCTATTCCAGAAACCGCAGATCAACAAGTTGCTTCGGACATTTTGACATCAACAGATACATCTGACTTTCTCACACCTAGTCCGTCGGAGATGGACAGTCCCCCGGATGTAGAAATACCCACAGCACCTTTAGAAGCAACTCTATCCGAAAAAATTGAGAGACTACGAAGGGCAAACCAATCATATTCTGGCGAGCAGGGGCAGCCACAAACAGAGACCTCTGGAATTCCAAGACCAACGGAACGTACAACCTCGCGCCGCAGTGGTGCTTCGCCTCCTCTTAATCGTACTCAGTCGCAGCCTGCAAATACCTTACGTCGCATGCAGCCAATCTCTAGTAAGGCATATCATCGTCTAGGAGATGCGCGCAAGTCTAGTGATACTCAGATCCCATTGCTTGAACCTTTGAAACCATCTACGACAGAGCCGGTAAGACCCACCGACAAAAGACTTTCGGAAAGATTGGGCTTGGGGTCACTCAAACAGAATCGCAAGGCGGGACACTCCCTAATTCCAAGGTCTGTGCAAAGTAAACGAAAGGAATCCAAAGTTACAACGCTAGCAAAGCACTTTGAGCAGCTGAGTAGAGAATTTGAGAAAGAACGTCTACGCGACAGGAGACGAATGGCAGCGAAAGTCACACAATCAAGAGCCTTCCCCAAGGCATCTTCCAAGCCGATTGTCGAGATATACAAGGATATCAACGAAGCTGTCGAGGAGCGCGGACCCCCCGACGAAGTCTCTCTAGACGCCGAACCCACGCGAGTTAGTGCAGAATCTACTGGCATGACTGAAGGGCTTGCCGATCTTAATATGGAGCCTCCTAGTAGCGAGACACAGCCAAATTCGCCAAATGACACCTCTGCTGCCACTGAAGGCGCTGTTGCCGACATTGAAGCGGATGACAGCCATCAAAACTTTAGTCAAACTGGTTCAGATGACGAAGGAGCTGTTAGCGATGCAGACCATTCTTTGATTGGAGACCTTTTGCAAGGCGCGGAGGAACTAGCTGAATCGCTTCGTGTGGGCAAGCCAAATGCCGACCTTCCGCTGGAGATACCAAAGCATGAGAAGTCTAGTCTCATGAAGATGTTAACTAATTTCTGGGCGGAGAGATCTGCCAGCGGTTGGACCCAGCTTGAGTATCCTATTAATGCTGGTGAGCATATATTTGTCGATTCTGATGTTATTATCAGAGAGGATGAACCGAGCTCGTTGATAGCTTTTACGTTGTCATCGGAACATTATCTAGCTAAGTTGGATGATCTTCGACAACAAGGTCCAGCATGCGCAAAAGCCCAAGAGCATGATTCTATGCCTTTAGACGGTACGCCAGACATATGCGAAGATGGTATCAACCAAGCAGAAGTCGAAACTTCATTATTGCGTGCCACTGGTACTCATCTTGCGTACTCGTTCGTCGATTCCTCGGCAAGAATGCAATGCAAGATTTTCTTTGCGGAACAATTTGATGCTGTGCGAAGAAAGTGCGGAGTAGCAGATCGAATCGTAGAATCGTTATCTCGGTGCTTGAAATGGGATTCTAAAGGAGGAAAGACCAAATCCGTATTCTTGAAAACACTCGATGACAGGCTGGTCTTGAAACAGCTATCCCCCATTGAAACTCAGGCATTCCTCAAATTCGCGCCAGCTTATTTCAACATTATATCCGAGGCGCTGTTTCATGAGTTACCTACGGCCATTGCGAAAATGCTTGGCTTCTTCCAGATTGTGATCAAAAATCCAGCTACGGGCACGGAAATCAAGTGGGATGTGTTGGTAATGGAAAACCTCTTCTATGATCGTTCGCCTACACGCATTTTCGATTTGAAGGGATCCATGCGAAACAGAAAAATTCAGTCTACAGGGGAGCAGAATGAGGTGCTTCTGGACGAGAACATGGTTGAATTTATCTATGAGTCTCCTTTATTTGCACGTGAAGTAAGTAAAGTAAGAGCCATGCAAAGGCCATGTCACTGATTTGTGTAAAGCATTCTAAAAAACTTCTTCGATCTGCAATCTTCAATGATACTCTCTTCCTGCAACGAAACGACGTAATGGATTACTCGCTGATGGTAGCTGTGGATGAGGTGAGTGTTGCTAAGCAAATACGGATTTAACATATACTTACATTATGAAGGCACGAAAAGAACTTGTCGTCGGAATCATTGATGTAGTTCGTACTTACACCTGGGACAAGAAGTTAGAATCGTGGATCAAAGGTACTGTTTCATCCAAATTTAAACTTTGTCATTTCATGCTAACGAATACGTCCAGACCGTGGTTTCGCTGGTGGTGGCCGCAATCGACCTACCGTCACGTCGCCTAAGGTCCGTTCAATTCTCCTTTCCAATTATAGTTTACGTAGTCTTAACAAGCAAGCAGGAATATAAAAGCCGTTTCAGAGAAGCGATGAATAGATATATTCTGCAAGGTACCAATATTTCCTTTCCCTGGCGATCTTTTGTTTGCTAATGAGAACAAATAGCCCCCAATAGTTGGCACCAACCTCTGGATGGAAGACCGAGAAGAGACTCAAGACAGATGGTGCAAGAGGCAAGAACGCCGGTGTTGTGATATACGATGGAGACGATGCAAGTAAAATAGATGCTTGGCATTATATGACGCAGAGCTTGCGTTGGGAGGTGTACAGACTGGATTGGGCATTGGGCATTTAAATGGGGGGTGTACGAAGAATCAGTCCCGTTACAGGCTAGATTGGGAAGGCGAAGACTTGAGTTGTGGCTATGCATTTTATGCCAACTATAGACAAAAATATAATCCAAGAAAGCCTATTGATTCAAGATTCAGATTCGGTCTTGAATTATGCAACAGAAATCCAAGAAGAATCCAGATGATCATTGCTGAACGTCGGGAATTGATTTGGAAATGAGGAACTACTGTCCGAGGTGGTTGTCTAAGAAGGCCTGTGGCCGATAACATATGTTCAATTTCAGCAATGTTTGTAGGGGCAGGCCAGGTTATGTGTGATTGAGACATCAAAATCATCGTGGGGGTATCATTGGCATTAACATTAATATATTCTATTTAACTACATACGCTTTTCAAGTCTTTTGACCTTTCTTCCTAGATGGCTGTTTCCGCCTCGGGGGATTTGGATCTTTTGAAAGTTGTTTGCGAAGTTGCTCATTGACAGCTTCAGCGTCATCTTCTTCCCCGGCAGGTTCGTCAGCATCACCAGCTTCGCTTTCCTCGTCAGACTCTATTCCGAAAGCCTTATCGATTGTTTCAGCATCAGCGACATCATCCAGCGCGGCACCACCATCTTCATTATCACTGTCAAAGCCTTCGAATCTACATGACATGTTAGCGTAAAGTCTGATGCGTTATGTTTTCCTAAACTTACGAGTCATCTTCATTGTCGGCTTCGGCCATTGAAGCAATATCTCCGATAGATGTGTCAGCTACTGATTCTCCAGCTTCATCACGCTTTCTCTTCCGTGGCATTTCGCCCAATCTACCTTCTCGTCCTTCTACTCCGGTTTCTTCTGGGCCTTCGAGCTTTGGAGGTGGAGTGAACCATGGAATTTTGCCCCTCAAGAAGTCATTGAGAACCATCTTGGCTACGCCGTCAACATCGGGCTCACCTCCATGTAATAGTCTTCCTCCCTTCCGTGCAAGAAGCTCCAAGAATTCAATATGGTTTTTGTATCCCTTAAGAGCATATGTTCTTTCAATGTGTTGGGGTTTAGTTTTACTCAAAACTGCGGGAATATATTGTTCTGGATGTTCAACGTTCTCAACTCTGACTACACCTCGTAGTAGAATATCTTGGGGTGTGTCAGTAGTACTAGGAGGAACTACTCCAGGACAATCAATGAGATAAATGCGTTTCATGAGAGTAATGTACTGCCAAACTTTTGTTTCACCCGGTATTGGAGCAACTGTGCAGACCTTCTTCTTTCTCAACGTATTAATGATTGATGATTTGCCAGTGTTTGGGTATCCAATGAAGCCAACTGATATTTGCTTGCGGTCGGCATGTAGGGAAGAGAATTGACGGAGGAGTTGAATGAGGGACCCTTTCCCGAAGGAATTTGTTATCGAGGCGTGAAATGCAAGAGTTGGATAATCTTTGGAGAGCGATCGCACCCAAGCGGCCTGCAGTATATTATTAGCATATGACATTAAATATATTGCATGTGAAATAGTGTTATTGTGTGTACTGGTGAAATGTATGAATCATTACTAAGAAAACCACCACAAGCCACTAGCTAAAGAGGAAGTGGACTTCAACTCAAACGAAACATTATCGAACTCTTTGCGACAGACTCTCCAAGACGGTGAGCTGCCTACTCATGACCCGAGAGCCAAGAGCGGCGAGAATGAACTCGATCTACCAAAGTTGTAACAGACTGCCTTCCATTGTGAGGAGCACATAGTGCAGAAGATGCCTTGACTTAACGATGGAATAAAAACGGGGGCAACAGATGGGTGAAAATGGTTAAAACGTGGAAGAATTGTCAAACTTACAGCAACTCCGGTGGGTACAAGATCGCACTTGTTGAGTACGAATATCAAGTGCTTATGCGGTGCTTCGTCCTTGATGTACTTTTCCACGGTCCGACAACGAGTTCCAAGAGGATCTCTGGCATCTAAAACATGTATGACCACGTCTGATGAATCAATAACTTTGTAAAGCTCATTCCATATGCGTTTGCTTTGACCCTTGCTGAATATCGCCTCTCGAGCACTGGTGATGTGGCCATCATCAATAGCAGCAGCTTCACCAACAGCTTCGGGATCGTTCGAAGTTCCACTCAGAAGCTTTGCTTGTTCGAGTCGGTCCAGATATGTATCGTGGCTCTTGACACTATCGTCGGCAAGATCTTCCAACGAACTGACACCGAGCTTCACTCTCTTTCGTTGTGCTTTGGGACCGAAGGTATTACTGAATGGAGACGCCTCGACTGTCATCTTGGCTTGATGCTGCTTGACTCCATTTTTCCCTTGTCCGTCGCGAATCAGTGACATTGGCAATTTATTAGTCTTTAGCAATACCGAGTAAGGATCACTCGCCCGTTCAGCCATGGCTTCTCGGAAAGAGGTCAAGGCATCTTGGCCAATGACTCTTGAGTTTGTAAACCATTTTCTGTTGGGCTCAATTCGTGCGGGTTTTGTTTCTCTACTTTGGAATGTAGCAGCTTGAGTAACTTTTCCTGCGGCATTGTGACGAGCTTTGCCTTCATTGAACATATTCAAGGTCTTGGCTTGCTTCGCTGTGCTGTGAAATGATTAGTTTTCAGTTCGTCAACGTGTGTAATGGCGGGAACATACCGATAGAAATTCTCGCCCTTGGTCTTAACATTGGCCATGCCATCTCCTACTTTGCCTTGTTTGACCTTTCTGGCCGCTTCTTTCTTACCGGTACCCATATTGATAATTGATGCGCGATGCGCTGTGAAATTTTGAGGTTGTGAAAAAAGTATGGAAAAAAGGAAGTCGAAGCTCAGGAAAAAAAGTTTTAGAGATTTTTGGGGGTTGTGGCTGTTGTGCGTCACGCTAAGGTGTGGCTGGGTTGGTTAGCTTCTAAAATATATCTCCACTAAACAAAGATATTTTATCAACTTCGATTGTGAGGTAAGGAGTGCCTTTATCAGAATGACCTCGGAATACTGAACCCCATATTCTGACAAACTACATCTCTCTCCCGTCTGGCCCATAATATCGTCGTTTTCGCAGTGTCATTCGAACACAATGTCATCAAGCATGTCGAAGAGTTCTTTGAGATTCATTGGGCGATGTAGGCCCAGTCAATCAACCGCGGTCTCATCTCGAACTTTCTCCACCACTACTTCATGTAGCGCTATTGGACCTGAAAATCCTCGATTTATTGAAATACCCACCACTCAACAGCCAGACGCCCGGGGGCATAGAGATATTAAAGGAACTTTACCTCCCCCACGAAATCTTTTCCCCAACCGCGGCCCCGACAAGATCTCGAAAAAGTATCTAGATTCTGTGACTCGTGAGCCCTCGAAACCTCCGAAGAACCCAAACGATTATGTTGCGTGGAAGCATCGGCTAGCAACTCGGCGACGTGAGAGCTTGAAGGAAGCGTTGGTAAATCTCCATAAGAGGAAATTGACCCAGGAGCGCATAGTTGCACACAAGAGCTACTCGAAACGAATGGCCAATGAAAAGAGACTAAAGGCTCCCCAACGAGAGGATGAAAGACTGATGAACCCCACGATTACGGAAGCCATGTCGAAACTGCAAGTAGGCTTTGTTCCAGATCCAGATAGAGAGAGTGAACTGGCACAGAAGGCATTAAGGGTACAAATTCGGGCGGCTGAAAGGGAGGAACAGAGGAAGAACGCGTTGCATACGCTGTACATGAAGGCTCGGTCATTCATCACGACGGAGGAGCAATTGAATGCTAAGATTGATGAGATCTTCACGAATCCTTTCGACAAAAATGCACCTTACAAGAGAAATATCTGGGAGGTGCACGAGAAACCACCCACTGTCCAGGATATGCTTTCAGGCGTCAACAATTCCCATAAGACTGCCGTCGGAAAATACTCGCACCCTGCTGTAATCACTGGAACCAGAATGCAGCACATCGCAGAAGAACTAACGGGTGGAAAGATGGACTAGGAGGCTTGCATCATGACATGTATTTCGAATGCTTCAATAATGCTTGCTTGTACAGTATCTAGACATTCAATGATTTGTTACGTCTCTTACGTCAATTTTATGTCAATTCTTCATGTTTCGAGTGCATTCATGGATTGTTGCGTTGTTTTTGTGATCTCAATGTCCATCAGTTTGTCGTTCATTATGGTGTGAGGGCTCTCTGGCGTATTGCGAAGGGCCTAACAGGGTTCTTTAAAGGAGATTCATTTAGATACAATCTAAATAGGGACTTTTTGGTATGGCACGGCAATCTCAATGTGCTTATGAACGAGCAATCGCCCATCTCTAGTTGGGAAGCAAATCTCGTAGCTTAAACGTGCAATGTTTAAAATTGTTCAACAGTTTCGATATTAGAGATCATATCACTTTTCTACACTATTTCCCACAGTGACATTATCAAATATCACACTCCTGCATCTCTCGTCCAATCCTCAGACGTTCAGGGATGTCGACTCATCCCCGCCCGTCTGTCTTTCCGCCCAGGTGAAACTGACCCCCAGAATCTTTCGCTCATTGCCGTGGCCGCAAGTTGATTCGATTTCATGACCCTCCCAGCGTAATCACCTCACAACCTTCATGAAATGAAACGCTGTGCCTAGTCATAAAGCCGTTGATATGCCCCACAATTCCTGAACCAACTTCGACATCCCTGTACAAGGGCATGTTTTTGATAAGGGCCCGGATTAAATTTAAACAAATTTCCTCACCAAAACTATACTTTATTTCCTATTTTTATAAATAAAATATAATTCGATTATTCATTATAAAGTTTTGAAATCTAGAATATATTTAAAGATTTAATAAATAATTATTTCAATATTAGTTTTGTTAAATTTAATCAGATATTGATTAATAAATCTTATATAGAATTTCAATCTTTAAAATAAGTATTATTTTTTATAATAATTTTAAATCCTAATAATTCTATATAAATTTTAATTATATTGAAAAGTTTTTCTGAAAAGCTACAACTATATTATAGAATTTTATAATAAAATCTATTTATATATAAAGTTTTAAATATATAATAACATTAATTAAAATTAATATTGATTTTTAAAGTAGATAGGTTTTGATATAAAAAAGGCTTGTGTATAAACCCGGGCCCTTATCAAAAACACGCCCTCATACTTGTACCGCTATATCTAAACACACCTATCGTTGACATGACCATTAACGTTCGTGATTCACTCGCCCGCGGCCGATGATTGAAAACGCTGTCGGTATGAAGTAACAAAGCCATTTGCGCAGATAGTAGTGTCTATTGGTGTGGGGGTTGAGGTAGAATTTACTAGTTTGTCCATCTTTGGTCCCTTGGTTGCGGCAAAATGTACGTCGATATTGGGCTGCTGAATAGCTTCATGAAACCGTTTGCGGGAGTGACACGGCGACAACCGAGACCGAAGGGGGGCACAAATCGATTATAGCGACAATCAACCTTCGAATGCATGCCCTACCTATGTTAGCCGAGGAGTCGATAATGTGTTTATTTGGATTGCGTCGACGACAGCTGACATCGCGGTGTGCACTTGGCTAGGTTGTCTCTGAGGCATAACTTTCCACGAGGTCAGAGCAGATATCAGATGTGCTCCTCGTCAAAGAAGTAACCGTTTGACAACTAGGAATGTAGTCAAGGAAATGATTTCAAATTGATCATCTTGACCAAATTTGACACTCTTGATCTTGACCATACTTGAGCAAAAGCGTAAGGTAACAATAATGTTCATCTACCGATTTAGTGAAAATTATAAAATTGTATTCACTGGGTGCGCTCTAAATGACTGCGCTATTACCTGCGTCGGGAGATAGCCCTGACTGAGTAAGTCGAAAATCCCCAACATCATGCTATGCAGCTCCAGAGACTTATGTGATTTCTCCAGAGCAACCAGTCTCTTCGTGCTGATCCTAGTCTACTAGTTGCAGAACTAATACGATACAAAGACATATAATAATAATGCATATCACATATGCTGTTGGAATGATGTTGGAAATAATACATACTGCATACGAGTAGGTCGGAATTTGTGGGAGTCGATCGTCAACAGAGGCACGTGATAACTTAACTGGCATAATGGGTCTGATTGGTCTCGCGTATCAAAATGCTTACCTAAGTAGCAACTTGGCCCGTTTGCATTTCCATCACATCACCACCTCTATATGTCTTCATCTCCATCGCCATCATCATCGCCGTCTCTATATTTCTTCATACGAACGCGGTTTCTCTGTCTTTATCGCTATATCCTTCCATCGCACAACATCGATTACGAATATACAATCATTGTTCCCAGACAAAATCGCTACTATATCGTGTTGTGTACAAGAGTTGTATCCTACAGTATATACTGTTTAGAACAGCCCTGGCGGTGGTTATGTCCTTCGGTATCTACTGTTTAGAACATCCCTGGCAGTGGTTACGTCCTTCAGCATCTGCTGTTTAGAACAACCCTGGCGGTGGTTACGTCCTTCAGTACCTGCTGTTTAGAACAACCCTGGCGGTGGTTACGTCCTTCAGTATCTGCTGTTTAGAGCAGTTCCAATACAACTTAAATCCATATAGTAGCCTTTATCGATCACTTCTGCGCCTCAATTTTTTTTTTCGAAGAGTCAAGGCTGCTCTATAGCCTGGGTGGGTGGGAATCACACGTAGAGTGTGGGCTAGCATTCTTTTAATGTAATCAGTCTTCACTATGTTTTATTGCTAATTTAATTATAGAGGTCAATAATGTCGGTCCCGATTGAGAAGCTCCAGCTAGAAAAGCTCCTTGACGAGAGAGTGTTTGTAAAATGGACAGATCAATCAGGTACAACTTTGACGCTGGGCTCTTGCTTGTATGGTAACAAGCAGAATCCCAAGTTTTTTATGGCTGCATACCTCGATATTAAAGGTCATATTCATATTCACTTTAAGCTCCAGGTCTCTATTAAGCTCGCTGGAAAGAAGCAACAAATGGACATGCTGTTGGTTGTTCCTCCGGACGCCGACTTCGCAAGTGCCTCTACACCTCGTCCGATATCGAGCATCGATGATTTATCTCACGACGCTTCTGCCATTCACGAAGCTGGCTTAAGCGACTCGCAACATGTCTTCCTCATAAAATTCAAACTGACTGCGAAGGGATTCGTTATTGCGAAGAAGAAGACTGCTCCGATCATTAGGCCCAGCACTACAACTGCAGAAAAGTTGGTTCATAGCCTTGAATCTTTGTCTAATACATCCATCTTCAGCGTATATATCAGGCCAAGCACTTACGCGGAAGTGAATCTGCAAAAACTTCGCACGCACCTGGTCAACACTTGTGCTACTATCGATACATGGAAAACCAGCACAAAGGAGATGTACATTCAGCAAGGGGCTATGTTAGTGGAATGGAATAGATTCTTATCTGAGGATCAACAACACGTACTACCGCCACCATATACTCTAGAATCCCCGGAAGTGCAGGTTCCTCGGTCACCAGTAGTTTTCGAGAAGGAACCACCATCAATCAATGTTATCGAAGAGGCAATTGCCGAAACACCGACACGCACTCCAGTCAGCCCGAACCTCCCGCCGGTACTGCATGGCATTTTCTCTCCTAGCGTCGAAGACTCTTTGAATGACAGAGTGAGCTCGGATGATGTCGAAAAGGACTTGAAATGTGCGGAAGAGGATTCGAGGTATATCGAAATGGACTTTGACGTGGATTCAGATGAAGAACGTCTCGCTAATTTGAAGTCTCGAGAACTAAGTCAGCAATTCAATCAAGATTTAGAAGTTTCAAAGATACTTGAGTCAAAGTTTGTGGAGTGGATACAAGCAGCAATGCGGATAAACTCGAATGTGTACGCACACAAGCGTTTAACTACCAAGCTGTCAATTCTAGGTAACTGCGTCCGTACGTCTAATGCTGGCGTATTTGACGCTACTATACCCTGGTGCTCTGCGTTATTTTTCTATGACCCATTCGATTCCGATAATTCTGTGTTATGGGAGGAGAGGAATTCATGGCTGATTTCAGACATGGCCAAACTGATTAGATGGGCTAATGAAGTTCACTATGGCGCCGAGATGAATCCATTATTGGTAACTGATTTTGTGAAGCTAGGCAATCTTGCTCGCACTGTTGCTCTACACTCTGGATATAACAAGGACGAATACGGCCTTCAGAAAAGTGCATGTGTTGCTCATGTTTTTATGGAATTTATCAAGCCGGCGACTGATATCAGTGGAGAGAACAGCAAGCCTCTTTCTCGAAAAAGCTTAGAAGCTGGTAGAAATATATCTAAGCGAGTAAAGATATAAATTCACATAATATGAGCTTACAAAAAAACATGTATAGTATTGGTCCATGATGTGAGCAACGAGGAAGCAGCAAGACACATTCATCTTGTATATGTATATAGTGTAGAATATGCAGGATAATACTCTAGGATATCTTTTGAAATGCAAACGTAGTACTGTATGTTTAGAGTATGTACTGCCAAGTATTCCATGTTAGAAAAAAATGGTTTGTTCTACTGAATCCATATCGTAGACGTGATCGTACAAGTCAACCAAAATCGGAGGCTGACAAAAAGCCGTTGCTGCTTAGGTACCCGGACCTGGCGAGCCTGGTAGGGTGGCTCGTATTTTACGACTAATAAGACTAAATAGACTAAATAAAAACTTGTTGATTCCTCTAGCGAACCCTTTACGATGTTGTGAAGTAGCTAGGATCTAATAAACAATAACAACAAGTTCACAACAATAATGTCTATCTACAATGAACAAATCTATCTGAAACAAGGGAAGAAAGGGGAAGACAAGTCTCGAGATAACAGGTGAAATTATACATATTCATAGGTTCACAAATGAGCATGAGGATTTGGAAGCGGAAAAACAAACCACCTAGGTACCCAAGATACGATACTAGCAAAATTAATACTACAACTCTTTACTTCGTATAATTAGAAAAGGGATCTAGCTAATAACAATGTGAAAGGTTCCACTATTATCACTTGTAACGAGATAATCTATCATTCCAAGGTTATCATTATAAATATACACAGTGGCGCTCAACAAGGGTATTGTGAACAGTTAGAAAGTAGTTCATCCAATGAAATCCGCATTCATGGAGCTTTCGGATGAAAGAAGAGACGAGACGCCCTCACTTCTAATGAACTTCTTTCTTACTTGGAACTTCTTTCCAACCACATTCACCAACTCATTAATCTTGTATATACCTACCAACCGTTCAGTCATGTACTCAAAGCCATATTGTTGAGAGATTCACTCCTAATTCAGTATTCAATATATCATACCAGTACCATTCAACAACTCAGCAGCAATCTAATATCGAAGGATCGGAGAAATTGAGGCCCTCATTCTAATCATAATCAACCTTGTCAGCGCGATTAAAAACACGCAATTGCCGCCCGCATCCTCAGCCCAGCCTACCGATATCTACCTACAAGTAAAAAAAAGGTCATCAAATGTCAGCTTAGACGTCGATGAGGTGACCAATCTTTCACAAGAGCTCTGGTATTGCGCCTGGAAAACACATTACGTTCCATTGCTTCTATTCTTCTACGATGCTCCCTGTCCGCAGACTGTCAAGGCGACAGGATGGCCCGCCTAGCAATGGGCCTTCATCCACCACAGAACCTAATCATTCCTCTACAGAAACAACGGCCACTTCATCCGGGCAGCCTCAATCTGATTCTAGTACTAGGCCAACTTATATTATTGTATGTGCCTCGCATATATAACCCATGAACCAATGCAATTTCATAGATGGCTTCTAATGATTATCTTTATAGGCAATCACAGTAACTATATTTGGACTTATAGTGTTGCTCCTTGCACTTTTCATCATACGTCGAACCCGGATCAAGCACAAGAATCCAAAATACATACCGACGGTATTTTTGAAAAAGGCTTGGGAAAGTTGGGACCCAGAAGCTCATCGATATCGTCTCCCAGACCAGAATGATCCCCATGAATACACAGGAGCCGCCGGCGTATCTGGTGTCGGCAGAAGTTTATCGAGTCGTCCACCTCCATCCTTCAATGCTGCCGCTCGAAGCACCGTCGAAAATGCCACAAACAACGACGCGGCAGGAGTTGATAGGAATACTTCAGTCCGCTCGGTAATGACGCTACCAGCTTATAATATGACGCCAGGACAAAATGAGCAGGTATTGGGAAGAGAGGGCGATCGAGGAGGCATTGACGTTGTATTAGAATTCCCAGAGACTATCGACGAAGAAGAGTCACAGCGAGAGGCAGAGATGGAGGCTTTATACCAGGTTCGACTTGCGAGACGACGTGAGAACGAAGAACGAGAAGAGCGAAGACGATTAAGGAGAGAGGCTAGAGAACGAGGCGATCATGTTGCATTGAGAGAACTTCAATCTCGACCCGCAAACACCAGTACTGGACCAACCGTCGAAGAGCTCAGAGCAGAACATGACAGAATTAAGAAAGAACGCCAACGTGCAGTTTCATCAGTTGCATATGGTGATCTAGGGGTCGCGAGACATGATGGTACACGATTACGCGCAAATAGTGATGAGAGCGAACGACAAGGATTACTTGGCGATGCAGCAAGTATGGCCGCGAGTAGTCGTTATCATCGGAGAGATCGAAGCGCAAGTTCAGTGTTAAGTATTGACACAGTGAACTCGGACCTACCTTCTCCGGGATTTACCAGGTCTCGCGCTGATTCCCGACCGGATAGTCCGCTTCGTCGATCCATAGGCCCTGGAGACTCGAATGATAATCATGAAGATAGGGCTGGAAGCAGTCCCGAGATGATAGATCATGACGATGTCCCATTGAGCAGCCCCCCTGGATATGAAAATGTATCGTTAGACACACCACATGCGGAAGCGTCAGCTCTACCACATCACATGACGGAGCCCCCTCCTGATTATACCAGTCCAATATATGGGAGAGGGGAGGGGCCAAGTTTAGAAAGCACGGGGTCTCGAAGATCACAGAATCTAGACGGAGTAATGACGGAGAGAAGGACAAGCACTCACAGTACAAATTCGGGCCTTTACCCTCGGGACGAGAGACGTACATCTACAAGATCAACTCGAGGTGTTGGTGGCATTCCCCAATTACCCAGTTTACGATTAGCATCTTTGCCCTCTATTCACGTCGATCCAGGCAGTCCGATGACAATGGGAACTACAGAGGAGGAAGGACATAGCCCACATAGCCAAACCCGTTTCGGTTAAGCTCTTTGAAAAAACAGTCAAGATCTTTGACACGATTAATGAATCTTGAATAATCAGGTTGAACCTTCTAATTTTTGATACACGTATAATCTTTCTCCAACGCAAATTTTGCCTTTTCTGCATCAAGAAATCCCTACTTTTCTATACCCGTTTTCTTTCGTAATAATTGTTATATACTTCTGATTTTGAGCATGGCGCTTTTGGGGGGGAGGGGGTGTTTAGAGCCGGATACTTGCTTTATTGATCTATTTTCAGCTTGAGCCTTTGTTTGGTGTTGAATGCAATTTAATGCAAGGCCTCTTGTATACAAGAGCAAAAGCAAGCAAGTGGTGATCAAGTGGGATGGAGTGAACGGAGTAATTTTAATTGGAGTGGGGGAGTTTATCAATGGGCTGGATTGGAAAGTTTCCAGATATTGGATAGGGTGGGATTGATGGGAAAGGTGGAAGAGTATGGCTTGGTCACAGATCATACTATACTCTGTTGTTAAAGACTCGCTCGATTGGTTGGTTTAGCGTCAATATATATATGTTGTTGATTCTTTGATTGATCTATCTTTCCTGTCTCATCTCTGTATCGGTTACTATGTGAACATGTATTTCATGTTTTCGGAGAAGACAATTCCTAGAACAGAACGTGGCCGACTCATGGGTAGAAATTTAGCCCAGCAATCTGTATTGAAACGCTATCAACTGCGTTTCTCTTTTCCATATCCCGCACCTCTTTCTCCCTCATCCTCTCCCCTCCGCGTCTCTCCAATCTCACTCCTGTCAGTGATCACCATTTCCATCTCCCTTGGATTGAATCGACGTCTTTTCAGAAGAACGTCATCCTCTCAAACAACTTTCTTTCTTCATACTTTCTTAGAACCCTTTTCCCACTACCTCCACGCCCACCGACCATTTCATCACCCTGATTTCCACCCCCCCTCTCCTTTCCCCCACTACCTCCACGCCCACCGACCATTTCATCACCCTGATTTCCACCCCCCCTCTCCTTTCCCCTCGAAGAAACTTCCTTCTTAATCCCCTTTTCACTCATCTTCTACTCCACCTACAACTCTTCTTCTATTCCTTTTCTCTCTCCCTCTTTCCCCTCCCCTTTCTCTCGAACTATTGATGTCAATACCAAAGACCCGACCGACGACCTCACTCTCCTATTCAACGACGTTGTAAATCTTGACCATCAATTACGAGGACCTCACACTCTACGGACTAGGACTAGAACTAGGTAGCGAAGAAGAATGGTAACCATATTTTCGCACGAGCTGCTGCTTACTGGAGATATTTATTTATTCATTTACCCAAAAGCATTCAGTACATTAAATACTGCATAAAAGATACTAGCTCAACGAAAGATATTATACATCAAACAATCAACACAGTTGAGATGCTCTAAACACTACAGCACACCACCACAAAATCTACATCTCAAATATCCGATCCTCTGGCTACCTACCACAATAATCTGTGAATGACATGCATGCACTGAATATGATTCATAGTGGGACACCCATCCACTTGTTGTAATAATACAGTGACTCAGAGACGTAAATTTCCGAAACCATTAATTACCGAAACCAGTTTACTTTTCATCGCGCCGGATGAGTATGGATAAATAATGCTGGAATTTCCTATCCCAGCCAACACAACACTTCACATTGTAGGTATCTATCATCGCCTTGCACATATATATCGTCATAAATATGAAGACTCATCGGGACTCAGGAGTATTACCTCTCAATTATCGCACGTATCTGGAACAATACAACTCCCTCAAAGACCCTGCAACGTTCTCACCTCGCCTCCGTAGTCACCAGCAGACAACACCGCGAGAAACAAATTTACCAATTTTTTCAATTTTTTTTCATTTCCCAAATTGATATCTCTGCATTCAGCGCTGTGAAAAACCGTCCATCCATTCCCCTAAAACATCTGCATAATAAAGCCGAAGCTACTACATACATTGCAACGAATGCAAACACCTACTGATGCATGAAATTCCCGTAACTGGGTATCAAGCAATGCATACAATTCTCCCAACACTCCTCCGTAACTGACCTCCAAACCCCTTACCATT